TAATTAATTAAAAGTAATCATCTTAGGACGAACGTTGTGAGGTGCTAATACCTTCCTCACACGTAATCGACTCCCGAATTCAAAAATTTAGTTTCCGTAGACTATTTTCTACTTTATAGTTTTTCCAATGTTTTTCCATAAAAAAATAACATTGATGGCGACTCGTCATTTTTAATTTATTTTTCGTCTTCTCGTCGCGATCTCGGTTGCGAAAGTGCGAAATATGTTCAAAATCTTGTGTATGTTCTATTTATAATGAAAAATTTATTTTTCAAAATTACTTTAGATATGTCAAGTGGTTGATAGGATAAGATAAAACTAACTCTTAAGAAACCAAATAAAAAGGATAAAAGAGACTCGGTCAACAAAAATAAATAAAATATTCATTTGATAAAATTAAATAATAAATATTTTAATCTTTTTAAATTATCACTCAAAGTATACAACACAAAATTCATGCAAAATATATATATATATATATATATATATATATATATATATTCTCTCTCTAAAAATTAAAGATATTAGTTAGTTTTGCAAGATAGCTCATACAGTTACGGATCAATAAAAAAAAATATTCTCAATATATCTGAACAAGATAGCTCATACAGTTACGAATCAATAAAAAAAAAATATAGCACATACAGTTACTACAAAAAAAAGATAAGATGAAATTCACTAGTAAAAATAAAGTAGTTATATGATTTGAAAATCGAATATTCGTTTAAGTTAATAACGCGCCACAATGTCCCACTATATAAGAACTCAGCATTAATTTGGAATTCAGGTTATATCGTTACAACACTTTGAACACCACTTTTCTTTGTCCTTAAGGAATCGTTTTGCATTTCTTTCTTTTCTTCTGTTTCACTTGGAGAAAGAATTAGTTCTTGTTTCATATTGTGACCTATAAGCCATGTCAGTGCATTTGGTAGATCCACTAGCAATGTTTGCACAAAAGAATGCAGAGGAAAAATTTAAACGGGGAGACTTAAAAGGAGCCATCATTTGTGCCACCATGGCCAAAACCCTAGACTCCAATATAGATGGCATTGATGAAACTCTTTTTGCCTACAAAATCCACCTCGCTGCTTCGACAAAACATGGCAAAGGTCAAGGTCGATTCAAAGGTAAAGATTACATAAAACCTTAAAATTACTCTCCCCATTTCATTTCTTTAGTCATGTTAGCCTTTTTTATATCAAAGAATTGTTGTTTTTATATCAAAGAATTCGTTTAATTATACATATATTTAATAAACTTTCTATTGACAAATTGCACACTTATTTTTACGAAAGAATGGGGTATACAACCAATGAACACACTACAATTAATTCTATTAATTAATCTCTATATATTAAATATGAATAGTTATTTCATGTAAAAATATTTTAAAATTTTATTCTTTGATAGTCTTTTTAGAAATTTCTTTAAATTTTTAACCAATTTAATTTTTTATTTATCATATTTATTTATAAATTAAGATTTTAATATTTTAAAATAAATTATCAATAATTAAAAATAATCTTGTATCATAATGTAAATTATTTATCTTAAATCAAAACTATAACTTAAATGTTTATAAATATGTATTTATTAAAAAAAATTAAATATAATTTATTTATATTCAAAGATAGTATTTATTTATATGTATATTTATTTTAAAATTTATTTATATATAATAAATATTTAACCCATAAAATACACATATACTAGTGAGCTGTCAAATAAGATTCTTTTAATTTAAATTTATATCTATTAATATTTTTTTAGTCAATGTACATTAATCTTAAATCATTAAAGAAATGAGACGGAGGGAGTCTTTATTATTAATTTATTATTGATTTTTATGAAATAGAATAATTAAATATGTGGATATGATTTATTGATAAGAAGACTTAACAAGTACTTATATTATTTAAAGAAAATAATTCTCTATAAAAAATTATTTCAGATCTCACTTATCTTTGGACCCACCCTAACAACGGTACAACAAATTGGAAGCAATTTCTTGGCATTGGGGAAGGCTTTGATGACATTGAGAGCATCAAGAATCAATGCGACAAATTGGTAGAGATGGTTAACCCAACAAAGAACGCTTCCGTAGCAACTTTGGGTGCTCTTAGACTCATTTACAAAGCTCGGTGTGACCTATGTAACCCAAATAATCAAAAATTGGTTCTTTCAAATCAACAAATACATGGCATCAAAGTTACCAAAAAGGCATGTCCTCGGTGCAGAAAGTGGTGCAAGTTCTATGTTCCTACGGTTTCAAGTGCACCCAAACATGGAGAAAATTGCCTTAAAACGAAAACTGTTTTAATCACGTGCTCCGCTTGCAGATTCCAGTTCGATCCCACACCTGACATTGACAAGACTCCAAAGTCAAGGTCTTCCGATGTCAAATATGTGAGAAAATTTTGATTATGCTCCTGTAGTTAAATTTCTTCATGAGGGTTTGTTTCTGAGCATGCATCGTAATTTTAATTCATCATGAATTTTCAAAAAAAAATTTTAGCACAATATCATGCATTGATCATATTATTTTTTTTGCTTAGCTTTACTAGCTTATTATCATGCATGTTGTGTTAAACAACAACAAAAACATTAATAAGTATTTGGTACTTTAACTCCTTATATTTTTATTCCTCATTTGCTTGATGGTATCTCTTAATTCTAGTCAAAAATATTTTTTCTCTGACTCATGACATCTTGTAAGCTCTCTACACACACTACACGATTGGGTTTTGAAATGAAAGTATTTGGGGAGGACTTCTGATTAGTTAAGTAAAATTTCGTTATATCATAAATTCTCTTGGTGACATTCACTGCACCTGGTTACTGGAGAATTGTTTGTATTAGGAGTAACATAACATAAAATCTAAAATTGGTAAACACCCCTTCGAGGTCCCAATAGTTACTGGAATTTTTGGTCTCCTAAAATAAGGCTATCGGGGAAATGTTTAGTCACAATACTCTTAAAAACAAACACTTCTTTGAAATCTTGTGTATACACCTGGTTACTAGAGAATTGTTTGTCTTAATTAAGAGTAAACATAAATAAAATCTAAAGTTGATTGAACATTCCTTTGAGGCCATTGGTTTCTGAAAGCTTCGGTATCCTAAAAAAAGGCTATCGGGGAAATGTTTAGCCATAATATGCTCTTAATAACAAACACTCCTTTGAGACCTTGTGTGGTAAAGTGCAAAGCATTTGAGTGGAAGAACCATGCAAAGTTGGCAGGTAAGTGCCTATTTTGCAGAGAATATGTGGTAGGACGAGATAAGAAAATGACTACATTAGACTTCTGATCCTTTTCTTAAGTGACTTAACCCAGTCAACATATTTTTACACTAGGAGTCCCAAGTTGTTCATGAAGTTCAGATAAGATTGAAATTTTCACATTTTTTGAGACATCATTAATTGGATGACGATTCTTAGATATAAGTAATTAGAGTTCCAAATCTTTGTGTATTTATTAAGGACATAAGTTGTTTGATGCATTGCATTTAGTAGACATTTAGAAAATTTTTTGCACTGATTTGTTTGCATAAATGTTTGCTTTGTTCTTTATTTTTAGTTCTCTCTTACTTATATTTTTCTTTCATGTAAAACTTGTTACGCTAAGGTGTGTCTCATGATTTCAGAAATTAAAAGTTGTTAAATTTTGATGAAAAAGTTCGTGTCGTACTAGCATAAATCATGGCAGCATAGTTGATTATAGCACACTCGCATATGAAGGAAAACGAGAAGATTTTAGCACATTTCCAATTAGTGTAGGGATAGCATACGGTGCAATTCACATATGTATCCTTCATTTCAAGTTGGTAATGTCGGACGTATGATGTCACGACAATCTTGGTCGTCGAGGATCACCTCAATCTCAAGCCACCTCATCACATCGTTCAAAAGCTAGACCATGTCTCAACTGACAAGATAACAAAATAAGTGCACAATCTTATCTTAACCAATTATAAGATATTTGTATAAGGAAAAAAAACTCTAATCAATATCAAGGTACGTGCACTATAAATACGACACTCACATCTACAGAAACTAACTTAAGCATCAGAGTCTCTTTTGCAGGTACCACTCCTGTGCCCAACTTACAAAGCAGAGGAGACTCACCAATCTCATCAAAGAAGTTGTCACCAGACCAATTTCAGGTAAGAACAACATTGTTAGAGTAAATCACATGACATGAATTGTATCATGTATGTCTTGATGATGTATATAATGGTTCAATATTTTTAAAAACTGATTCGTTCAAATTGACGTGCTTAATGATATTTCTTTTTAATTTTTTTTATGGAACAATACATTAAAACTGCTAACTTATAATGGATGGATTCTGTTTAATTAAAGTAGAGATAGTTGATAACAAATTTTATCTTATTTATAATAATTTTTCAATAACTTATAATTTTTTTTAAAAATATCATTAAAATATTATTTGAGGTTATTATGAGGTGATTGATCAATCTATTAAGATGTAGATATACCAAAAAAAAATCTATTAACTTGTAGATATACCAAAAAAAAATCTATTAAAATGTAATTATTTCATAACTAACTTTGACTTTAGGTTAAACGGTTTAAATTTATGATTGTCTTAAAAAAATTGTTAACCCTCATATTTTGACATTTATTTATAGGTTATAACCGCCTAAAAATAACTGTGAGAAGTTGAATATAATATCATGCAAACACGGTTAATTTTAAAGCATTCATATTTTAACAACTAATTTGTAAAAATAATTTTGAATTGGTAAATCACCAAGATATAGTGTATATCTTCTTTTTTTTTTTTTCTTTCATAGTTACCCTTATTTTAATTAAATTTCACCTATATCCTCTCACAAATATAAAGATTAATTATTATCACAAACTATTTTAGAAATGAAGCACCAGATGATGTTTACATTATAGTGTCTAGAGAAGTGGAGATAATCAGTAACGTAATGGAGAAAGAGAGAATTGTAGGGAATTTACATACTGAGGATATGTTTGGAGAGGTTGGTCCACTTTGTTGTAGACCTCAAAGCTTTACCTATAGAACCAAGACTCTCACACAACTCCTGAGACTGAAGACCAATACTCTTATAGAAGCAATGCAGATTAAAAAAGAAGACAACATACAAATACGCAAAAATTTCCTTGAGGTGTGGTTTCTTGGCTTGTGAATTACATATCATAAATCATAATACTTATGATTGTTTTGTTTTTAACTCTTAAACATAATAGAAGTGATGCAAATGCAGCATTTCAAGCAGCTCAAGGATCTGAGTATCAGAGATTTGATGGTGGAGAATGTGGAAGAAGAGGACCCTAACAAGTTCACATCCATGTTAGGGTCACTTCTATTATGTTAAGGACCCTAACATGGATGTGAACTTGTTAAGGTCCTCTTCTTCCACATTCTCCACCATCAAATCTCTGATACTCAGATCCTTGAGCTGCTTGAAATGCTGCATTTGCATCACTTCTATTATGTTTAAGAGTTAAAAACAAAACAACCATAAGTATTATGATTTATGATTTGTAATTCACAAGCCAAGAAACCACACCTGAAGGAAATTTTTGCGTATTTGTATGTTGTCTTCTTTTTTAATCTGCATTACTTCTATAAGAGTATTGGTCTTCAGTCTCAGGAGTTGTGTGAGAGTCTTGGTTCTATAGGTAAAGCTTTGAGGTCTACAACAAAGTGCACCAACCTCTCCAAACATATCCTTAGTATGTAAATTCCCTACAATTCTCTCTTTCTCCATTACGCTACTGATTATCTCCACTGCATTTATTTTTTATTTACTTAATTTTAATTTATTTTAAAAAAGTGAAGTCGTATTATTAAACACGACTGTTTTAGAAAAAAATTTGGGAGTCGTGTTTTTAATTTTTTTCTAAACTTTAAACCTTAAACTTATACAAACACGACTCCCTTCCCCATTTTTTCTCCAATTTTTAAATTTTTTATAATACATAATGTACCGGAAGGGTCCTATCAGCCACGTGGACCGCCACGTCATGTCCTATCAGATATTGACGTAGCTCGGACACCACTTCGGCTCAGTAAGAGATCGAGAACTGTACCCTTTCCCTATCAGCTCGGCCAAAAGCCGAAGATGAAGAGGACGTCTCGGCCATTCCATATCGGCTCGGCCAAAGATCAACAGAGTCGGAATAATCAGGATGACGATCATGATTAACAAGGGGCAACACGCAATTAAGGCATAACCAGCCGATTAACATCGTATTACCTAATTTGGTAAATGTCAGAGAAGGCCCACCACGTTCAGGCCCATGACAGGTAGTATAAATAAGTCACACGTAACGAGGTATGTCATTGTTCATTTATTACTCTTGAGAATCGTGCTTGTCCTGACTTGAGTGTCGGAGTTCCTTTTGCAGGTACCTCCCCCCTCTGAAGCATCAACCCGAAGCTCTCATTCGGCCCCCCAGTTACTAGAAGATTACGAGTGTATCCTTAGACAGGTACATTTTGGTGCCCACCGTGGGGCCGAACCGACAGCTTTGAAGAGACGAACTTACTATTTCGAAGACACCAAGTATCATGGCGAAGACGAGAAGAACACACACCGAAGACCACCGATCTGAGGATGAACACCGGTCCGAGGCGGACAATGCCGAAATAGTTGACAAGACGAACATGGCTGAGATGTTGCGGCAGATGAAGGAGGAAATGGCTGCCATGAAGCAGCAACGAGAGAAAGATGCTCGTGAGATGGCCGCCCTACGGGAGGAGAACGCAGCCCTGAAAAACCAAAACCAAGATCCCACGTGGAAACCCTCCGAGCTGACCCATACTCAGGGGTCATTCCACTCACTCGAACCTCATACCTCTATCCCCCGCACTCCTAATGCCGCCCCAGGATACCATGCCTCGACTGCTCAGGCGCCTGGCCGACCGATGTACACCACACCGGTCGGAGCACACCGACACCCCTTCACCCCGAACATCATGCAATCCTCCCTTCTCGACCATTGGAAGTCCCTTCCGCTAGACAAGTATGACGGAACCATCGACCCCGACGAGCATGTTGACATTTTCCTCACCCTGGTCACCCTCAACACCACCGATGACGCTGCCCTATGTCGCATCTTTCCAACAACCTTGAAAGGAAGAGCGATGAGAGGGTTCACCCGCCTC